ATATATATATATATATATATATATATATATATATATTTATCTGTACACATACATGCATATATATATATATATTTACATACATATACACACATACAGTCTTTAAAAGGAAAATTCTGACAAATACTTTTATACAGATGAACCTTGGATATAACTCTAAATGAAATAAGCCAGACACAAAAGGAAAAATGTGGGCTGGAGAGATGGCTCAGCAGTTAAGACTATTCTTCCAGAGGACCTGAGTTCGATTCCCAGCAACTACATGGTGGCTCACAACCACCTTGAATGAGATCTGGTGCCCTCTGCTGGCATGCAGGCAGAAGACAGTATACATAAAAAAAAAATAAAATCTTAAAAAAAAAAAAAAAGGAAAAATGTTGTGTAATTCCATGTATGTAAGGTACTTATAGTAGTAAAATTGCTTATTTGAGGGATATTGGGGTGTATGGAAGAGTTGGTAACTTCAATGGGTTTAGTTTCCATTTAGAAAGATGAAAATATTTTGGAGATGGAATGTGATGGTTATTGTACAGCACACTATGTGTAGTAAATCTTACTGTTATAAGGTTATTAGAACTGGAGAGTGGCTTAGCAGTTACAAGCATTTACTCTTGCTGGAGATCCAAGTTCAGTACCCTTATTGGGTGGCTCATAGCTGCCCTAAACTCCAGCTCTCTGTGATCCTACACACTGTTCTGGTTTCTGTGGGCACACACTTGCACATGCCCCCCCACAGACATATACATACATACATACATACATACATACATACATACATACATACATAATACATACATACAATTAAAAATGATAAATCTTAAAAGTCCTGTATCACTGCTCCTAAGTTGACCTTGAGTAAATTCTGTTGCATTTAGATGCAGAGAATATATATACACACATATACATACATATACACATATATGCACACACATAGACATGGAGATTGATTTACCAAAGTACTTAGAGGACTAACCAATGTATAGTAAATTTCATTGAGTTTGAGTCTGGGAATATGGCTAACATGGGAGTGTCTGCCTAGCATATGTGAAGCCCTCAGGTTCTAGTCACAGAATCATATAAACCAGGACAGATGGCATGTGCTTGTAATCTCACACTAGGGACATAGAGACAGGAAGATCAGAAATTCAGGGCCATCCTCAGCTACAAAGTGAGTTCAAAGCTAGCTCAAACTACATGAGACCCTATTATTTTTCATTCATTTGTAATCTTTTTTTTTTTTTTTTTAAGCTTTGTTTTGTTTTTGGTCTTTCTTTTCTTTTTAAGAGGGTTTTTCTCTGTAGCTGGGGCTGGCCTTGAATTTGTAATGTTCAACCTCCTGGAGGCTGAAATTATTGGCATGAGTCACTATGCCTAATTTAAGTCTGAATCCTAAATGCTACCGTCCTTTTTACTTCTGAAAAAAGCATTTTATGCTAATATTTCTCCTGTATAAATTAATGTTTCTTTGAAGTTAAGACACTTGCTTTCTTTGAAGTTAATTTATAGTTAAAATAAGTATTTTAATTAAAAAATTAATGATGTGTATGTATGTTCATATGTGCATGTAAATGCAGGTGCCTGTGGAGGCCAGAGGTGTTTGGATTCTCTGGAGCCAAAGTCATAGCTGGTTGTGAGCCACCTAGTATGTGGGTGCTAGGAATTGAACTCAGGTCTTCTGCAAGAGCACTGAGCACTCTTAACCACTGGGCTATCCCTTCAGCCCTTTATTTATGATTTTGGAAAAGAAATAATTGTGGGAAAACTCACTTTACTAGTTTATTAGCAAAAGCAGTACCGGGAAGTGCATGGCATTGCTCATTACTCAGTTTTTTCTTTCTTTATCTGAAATTGAACCAGGACAAAGTTTTCAACCCAAAATTAAATCAAGACAAAAGCTCTTAGGTTTTATAAACTATTGTATTTCAGAAGTGGATTTTTTCCTGCTGATTAATCTTAATGAAGTATTTTGGTTGTCTTAGATTTGAAACATGAAGTTTTACTTGCATGTTTATGTGTAAATCCTTCTACCTTTTCTAATTGATTACATAGAGAGGTACTTTTTCTCTGGTCAGTCTTAAAAATTTTTAGTGAAATTTACATAAAATACACAAGTCATTGGGTTTTGACACATTCCCTTTTATTTCAAAATGTTTTCATTACCTCAAAAGAAAGTTCTGTACTCAGTAATTGGTGATTTGCTCACCTTTCCTCCTCTAAATTAGTAATCCGTTTAAGGTAGTTCATATAAATGGAGTCTTATTTGTGTCAGACTTCTTTCATTTGGTGTAATGTTGTCTAGATTTTTCATATAGTATGCATGTTTCAATACTAGAGACCTACTGTGTATATTTACTAAGTATCCATTAATCTGGTTAGTTTTTTTTTTTTAATCAGATATATGATCTGAAAGGTCTAGAATCAGTTCATCTCTGCAGTGAACATTAATGAAGTACACATGGTGTATACTGAATCTCAAACTTGTGGTTATATATAATTACATTGTTAGGCATGCTGTGGTAGTAATGTAAACATGGTGTTATTTAACATGAAATATTGGTTAATTCTACTTGACAGGGAAAATGAGTTCATTTTGCAAGTGGTTTTGCTGATGGTGACATGGAGCA